GTGCCGAATACACAACGAAAATCCACAAAACCAAATTACAATGGAATTCTGGAAAGTTGATTCAAGAACTTGAAAAAATAATCCTACTAACAAGAGTATTATATCCTCGTATAGGCAACATTTGGTCACCTTTAGCATTTTGGACACCACAATTTTAGCTCATGACCTTAAGAGGGAAATTTCATGTTCAAGAACAGGACTTGACAATTTCACATTTTTATAAACATAAGAACACTTCAAAAATGAGAACTTTTTTGCTTGATATAATCAAACATGCAAAAACCAACACGAAACTAGCACTATCTGTCGATGAATAACAAAGCAAAAACCAGATCCGGCATATTTCCGAATGTGGATTAGGTCACTGTAAACCACTCCACAATGAGCTTTGTTTTTCCTAGATTATACGGCAGACCCTTTATGAGGGTCGAGGGTGTGCAAAGCGGCCGTTGGCGAGATAAGTGGAAATTGTCCTATGAGTTGCCATATGTCAAACAGAAATGATCTATCCACATTTTACCCAGTTGCCATATATCAAACAGATCCCATTTTACCAAGTGCCTACCAAATTCCAAATAAACAAATAAAATTAAGGTACCTTGCAAATATAACCTCATGGTGGATAAGGAGGAAATAATCCCAAAAATATTCCCATGTAGCTCTGAAATTCCTATAGGGTAGAACTTCACAGCAGCATGAGAACCAAAAATATGTTCTAACCTCGAGTCGTTTGCGTTGAACCCAAAATTACAACACAGTGCATCAGTATTCCAGAACCAATGTTTAAACACCAACTGAATGCTGTACACACCGCATGTTAATTCAAAATTCACGAGAGATGACCTAGACAAAATTTTGTTAACTTCGACGGATAGAACCCTTTCTTGTATGCCAATAATTACAGCTTACATGTACATTTTTGTATGTGATATCATTTTGTCGGCTATTTTGTTATATATCTTATTCCATAATAGACAAACATGACCAGTGTTCGCATCTCTGTTTCGACCCTCCAAGGTCCCATCAGTAGTGCTAGACCGAATCACTCAACTGTCCCAAAAAACAAGACTGAAAGTAAAGGTAATGTCATTTACCCCTACGAAGACGCCATCTATACGAGGCCAAAAATGGACTTTGGAGGTCCATAATCTCAACAATCATCATAAACGCAGAAGCCGAATTAGATCAGTCCATGTAAGTATCGTCCCCTCCCAGATGAGCCATATCCATCAAGCCAGCAAAAACAAAGATAAATACAAGAAAACATCCACTGATGAGCACAACACGAGTATTAAGTACAAATAAGTCAAAGAGTTGAACTTGTGCCTCTAAAATTGTGGAAGAAAAGTATAACTGGGATGCCGAAGGAGAACTTAGCCAACAACAAAAGCAATAACCAATATTTGAATGAAATGTATTACAATGAATCCGATGGATAACTGAGCCTCCGCAAACTAATTCACCCGTGTTTTGAAAAATCGGTCAACTCATCGCCATCAAATTCCAATATGATGTCCATTTGATTTAGAATTTGCAAGCTTACAACCCAGCTAACTGGGCAAGAAACTCAAATAAAACGCAGGACAGGACTGGGCCTCTGGAGAATGTGTACCCAAAAGTTACGATGAATCATTAAATTTTGCCTTTTCAATGAGAATTACTGTATTGTAGCATCCCAATACGGAATTCATGATCGGATATTTTAGAATTATACAAAAAGATTTCATTATTTTGCAATTTCAGCAACAATGAACCTATATTTGATTTTAAATATCGATTCCTCTCTGATAAGAGTTTAGTACTTTTATAAAGGGGAGGGTGACAAAACTTATTTTGAACAGAAGCTCTGAGGAATCACGATTATTATTAGAGTTGAAAAAATCAGGCCCTCGGCATGAAGCTTTCACTAACTTTTTTTTTATCTTCTTCACATTCTATATGATTATTTATATGTACAGATTGCTAAAATACTATTGTTGTTTCATTAAAAAAATGCGACTTTCTGAATTATTGGTGTCTAATATTTTCTTAGGTAGAGTAACTACGCAAGGTGCAGCAAGAACTATTACCCCCAGTTCTATGAAGTACAGATCCCCCAATTAAGGTCTATTTGCAACAATATACATATATTAAATCCAAACAATTATAAAAAGATAGTCAGTGAGGTAATAAAAGAACTTAAAATCATTTCAAATTTAAATTTTCAAGGAATTGATTATTTCAATTTGGTTCTAATTGTTAAGCTAGCAGAACATATCAATTTTTTGAACCAGACACAAAAAGGGTAGAAAGGGCAAATATTTTAGTTCGCCCCAAAAAGTTACTGCGTAAATTCAAAGTATTTTTTACAAAGAAACATGTTCTATTCATCAGTAACTTGTATTTAATAATTATGTCTGTAAAAAAACGAATCAAGAAATTATACAAATACTTATCTTAACGTTTCGGGGGCTAAAATCTGCCTCCATCAGAATTGGACAAAATCTAATTCTATAAACAGTTTTTTCTTTGCTGATTCTCTTCATTTCAAAACTTCTTTGAAAGATGTCAAAGGAGTTTTGAAATGTAAAATATGTCAAAATGTTGTTGATTGGCTTCTGAAACATTTGGTATAGAACAAGGTGTTCTCTGATAGTCTGTTGCTATTTCGCCAGCATCTATATTTTTCTTCAAAGCGGATAGCCAAGCTATAAGGAGCTGTTCGAAATACACTCCTTTCCAGATATAAGAATATACGCTGATTCTTCAAGTTTACGACTCTTATAGTGGAGTTCATTGGCAATCACTCTCGTCTTGTGCCATTCAACTTGATGTTCACAGTTCAATTACGAAATGTGTTCTGTCTATTTTCACCCTGTTGATTTGGTCTATTTCTGATGATATCTCGATGTTCATTCTCACGCATGAAGTTTCGCCAATATAACTTTCACCACAACAACATGTTATCTCATAAGTGAAATTTGTTTTCTTCTGTATTGTTGGGTTTTATATGTGTGAGTATAGATCTCAATGTATTTGTTGTTTTGTAAGAAGTTCTAATACCATCTCAGCTTTTCAGATAATCCTTGACTGTAAGGTATAACTTTAGTTGTGAAAGGTGTCTGTCGGTGGTTGTTGAGTATGTAATTGTTGAGTTGGTGGCTGTTGAATTTGTTTTTAAAACTGAGCAAACACGATTTGCAATCAATTCAATATATTAAAGAAAAGAATCATTAATAAAATCTGTTCTGAGAGAGAACACTTATGCAGACTCATTTGTGGGTTCAACAATAAATGCGATAGAAAATAAACCGCCAATTGAAAATCAAATGACCCTACAAACAGCATTACAAATTCAACATCCACCATCTCAACAATTACCGACTCAACAACCACCAACATCTTACCCAACTAAAGTTATACCTTACATTCCAGGACTATCTGAAAAGATAAGACGAACTTGAAATAGATATGTTAGTAATTCTTATAAGACAACAAATACACTAAGATCTATACTCGCACATACAAAATCGAACAACACTGAAGGAAAAAAACAAAAAATTGCATTTATGAGATAACTTGTTCTTGTGGTAAAACTACATCTGCGAAACTTCGAGACCATTAAAAGTGAGTGAGAATGAAAATCGAGATTGCATCAAAAATAGACAATCGACAAGATCAAAATTGTCAGAACACATTTTGAAATCAGATGATGAACATCGAGTTGAATGGAACAAGACGAGGATGACTGCCAATGACCCCACTCAGAGAGACGTAAACTTACTGAATCAGCGTATATTTTATATCTGGTGAAAAGTGTATTTCAAACAGATCCTTAGAAATAGATCGTACTTGGCTACCTGTCTTGAAGAAAAATATGGATAGTGGTGAAATAGCAACAGTACTGATATTAGATAACACCTTGTTCTACAATGAATGTTTTAGAAGTCAATAAACAACATTGATATATTCCACATTTCAAAACTCCTTTAACATTTGTCAAGAAAGTTCAAAAATTAAAAAAAAATCAACTGAGAAAAAACTGCTTCTGAAGACATATTACTAGCAAATAGAACATTTTTCTTCGTAAAAAATACTTTCAATTTATGCAGTAACTTATCAGAGTCAACTAAAAAGTTTACCTTTTCTACACATATATAGAGTTCTCTATTACAATTTTCATTTTTTTAAGATTGTGGAAGGTGAAAATACTGAAAGAAGGTCGATAAAAACATAAGAGGACTAAATTCATGACATTTTTCTTCGTAAAAAATACTTTCAATTTATGCAGTAACTTATCAGAGTGAACTAAAAAGTTTACCTTTTCTACACATGTATAGAGTTCTCTATTACAATTTTAATTTTTTTAAGATTGTGGAAGGTGAAAATACTGAAAGAAGGTCGATAAAAACATAAGAGGACTAAATTCATGACATATTTCATTCCAATCCACAAAAATATAATCATCCTAGGTTTTCATTCTGCTGGCTCAACATTAAACTAGTGGAAGACTTGATATCTTCATTAACAAATTTCAAGAAATCCAGGAGTAGAATACAAAGAGGAATTATGACTTAAAAACTTATGTTAAATACAAAGTGCTTGTGCTAGCTTAATACAAACCAATTTAAGGGTGATCTCAAAAGTCAATGAAAACTTATAATAGCCAAAAACTTGCAGTAAAATCTATAAGTAAATTTTATTGTGGATGTTCATCAGTTCTATTCAATATTATAATAGTTGTCAAGTTTAGCATTTTGATGCAAAATGTAATATATGCAGTGTGGTGATTTGTTTATATCAAAATGTTATATACTTAAATCCATGTCTACATATGAAGGCATGAATTTGTGTTGTATTGATAATGTTCACTCCCCAGGACAACACCTTGCCAAAGTATTTGACATTTTGTTTTTATTAGGTATCTACCATACACTCACTATTCAAAGAAAATATGTCATCTTTTCAGTATTGCTAAGTAGGATAAAAATAGATACCTAACCGAATAAAAAAAGTCCAAATACTTAAAACTTGTTATAATAATAATAAAACTTTTAATTTATGTACACACAATTTCAAATAGGTGACAAATACATTCACCTACACTTATCTATTCATCTTCTTCATCTTGTAACAAGTGATCTAATTTCAATTCTTTTTGATTCATGGGTTTCATGATTTTGTTTTTTCTTTCCTTCTTCTTTTTTTGTCCTACTACATACTCAGGCATTACAACTTTTGAACTAATAAAACTAGATTTTAAAGTACCTGATGAGTCTACAAAGTCATTCTGTTTATCCAATAAATTGGGTTTATGGAAAATAATCTTGTTTGGAACTTCCTCTAATTTCTGATCACACTCCATGTGAATTGTTTTTCTTTTCCTAAGTTCATTCAAAAAATTCAATGCAGTTCTTGTATTACTTTCATCAGATATATCTTCAACATCATCTATGGAATACTTTGTCCATTTGTGGGGATTCTTTTTGAAGTCTGGAATACTTCGCATGTAGTTTTTCGGAACTGGATTCTGTGGTTTTTTGAAAATACTTTCTTTGCCTCTGAAATGTTTAGTGACTGATCTCTGTCTTCTTTCCCCACTATTATTATTGACTATTTTATCCACCTCCATTTCATCATTTGGCAGAACTAAATCAGTTTTCCTGTTCTTTTCAAGAACAATTAGCTGATCGAAAACACTTTTTTGACGAAGAGTGAATTCGGCATTGTCTGATTTTAATGAAAAATTATTGGAAAACGCCATTAGTTCATTAGTATGATTCGTCACAATCCAAGATTTAATATTTAATGATCGAATGATCCCAATAATATTTTAGACAACAATCATTAACCAATTATACCAACCAACTGAACAAAACGCAGGGTAGCCAACTGATATTTCATTTTCGTACTTAAGATTAGATAATCTAGTGACTTCCAAACTCCATAGATAAAATTTCCAAAACTGGAGAACTGAAACCACAAAGGGAAAAAAATCACTCATCTGTGTTTAAATCCTACAAATCTTTGGTCATTAGAAGTTCAACATAAACGGTCAAAATATACTGGAGAACGGTAAACACTAGTGAAATACAATTCGAACTGGGTCAATCGGTATTTTTTTTCATATTCTATTACCGTTTGCATCAACAAATATGCACTTCTTCTTTTTAAATTATCTGGTTCGCTCAGTTAAGCATTTTCGTTTATATAGATATGCATCTATGAGTTACCCTATGTTGTTACCATTTACTTTCTTCGAAACATAAGGCGCATATATGCAATGTAAGGAGTAGTAGTCGCCTATCTATTTATCTCATTGTCGTTGATTGCAACCTAGCTTATTTGAAAAAAAATCCGTTGGATTGCTTCAACCAATAAAAACGTACTAACGTCTCGAATGAATACATCGAATCAATCGGTGGACTCATCGGTGAATTCAAGAACTCGTCCCTCCACGATTGTTTCTACAGCCAAGTTCCAAGAGACATTTTGAAGGAAATTTTGTTGAAATCAGAAACGTGATCAGTGGAAATTCCAATAGATTATCTGTTTTTCTGGAGTTTTATGACGCCCCCTGGTGTCAATAGATTCCTTGAATAGTCCAAGAAGCTGAAAAGTCGGATATCTCATATCTTGTCAGCCAACATTCTACCAGTAATATAACTAAAAAGAATATCGGAAATATTCTTCAAAATATATTTGAATTCAAATAAATTTACTTTAGGATATCATATAGAATTTCGTAGACTATTTTTTTTAATTCTTCTGTATTAATCTCCCATGATGAAATATTCAGTAGGAGACAATAGCATTTCAGTTTTTTTTGGTGTCAACAGCATCAACTACTTCGGCCATTAACCTCGTGTTCTGGGTATTCAATGCTAATACCTCTGAGCCACCTATGGAGCATCATAGCTATTCGCAGTTCGTCAGCCTTGTAACGTTGGAGAATCATTATAACTTAAACTTGATAAATTCTCTTGAGAAAAATATCTGATAGGTAGGATAGAACTCACAATCTTTTAGATCAGGATTCGTGCGCACTCCCACTGCGCAAAATCACCGCTCCTTCCGTTTATTATTTGTCTGTATTGGATGCAGAGCAGACTAGCAAATAAGATTATTTCAACTTGTGTTACAGAAAGTGCTGCATTTATAATACTAGTTTGGCACATTCAAATACCTCAGATATGTACATTCCAAAAAGTCTCGTATAATCGATAATTACAAATTTGGTGTGTAGACTGAATGGACTGTAGTATACAATATTCTAGAAGAAAGGTTTTGGCTTTCTACTTTTCCATTTTTATACTAAAAAAAAATAAAATATGGGAGACTTTCAAAGAATGGAAGAAAGCAATTAATTTCAAAATAAAATCTTTACAAAGATTTTTGTAAAAAGTTTCCCACGTTTTTTATATTCAAAGATGGAAAACTAGAAAGGCAAAACTTTTCTTTCCCAAAAACGATCACCCCTTCAAATACACTCCTTTCAATTTTAATGCTATTTTTATCACAAAACAATAGGCTCAATTTTATTCAAGTTAAAAACAAACCAAGATTTGTGTTACTCGACTTCCTAGAAATTGAAATCGGTTCAAAAGGAACTGAACATCGAGCCCAATTATTACTCTGAGGCATAACCTCAACACTGTAAAAGAAGGGTAGACTACTATACAGTTTGAATCATCGTGACTTTTGATAGGTAGGTAACATTTAGCGGAAGTGTTTGAAATAAATGTACATTCTTCGAAATAATTCACGATGTCCACTGTTACACACTTAGTATCATGAAATTGTTAGTAATTATTTACTTCCTAGTATATTGAAGCCGAGCTTTAAGCTTTATTTATGTTATTTTCCTCCGTAGCCTGACGGTTTTGAGAGTTTTAACACCTGGCCGAAGGGGGTTTCTCGAATCAACGTCTTTCGCAAAGTATGTGCAGGTGATGTCACATCGAGCGATTCCTGAGAAAAAAGTATTATTGAAAGTTTTGAAGGTGGTTGAAATGTTTCGTGGTGCATTACATCAGTTCGGATTTCTATTATCTAATATGATATAAATTGATTTTAAATCCCAGAAAAAATCTATTAAAAGAAATAAAAAGATTAGCTGAAAAAACCATTTTATTAAGCAAAAAACTGAAATTACAATTAAACAACATACAAACAACAACAAAAAAAAACACCACGAAAACCATGGCCACCAATCGCGGACTGCAATTCCAAGAATTGCATTTACCGGATACCCTGCGAGTGCAGAGAATCATACATCGGTGAAACTAAGAGGCCATTGAAAGTTCGTATTGCCGAGCACAAGAAACACACACAGCGAGGATAAACCAGCAAATCCGGAATAGCAGAGCATGTTTGGACTAATCAACATAACATCAAGTGGGCTCAGGCTGAAATCATCCACAGGAAGGAACACTGGTTTAGGAGAAAATTCAAAGAAGCCGCATATATGTTGTCCAACAACGCATTTAGCCAAGTTAGCGTAGATATAGGTACATGAAATATGGAAACCTCTTATCCCGCCAAACGGTCAGTTCCCGCTAAAAACCAATCAAGCGGTGAGAGGGAAGAGAGGATAGGTAAAGCAGTCGAATTACCTATTAATAGTAAGATCTCGAAGAAGTCCAGTTATCACCTGAAGACGATTGTGGATACTAACAATCGAAACGTCGTGAAGTAACTTGGTTTGGAATGTTTGAATTTCAGATTTTTTATTTTCATTTCTTGTTGCAGCTCGTGTTAATACTGATAGTTCTTTTTTTTTGGTTTTTTTGTTTGTTGCTTTTATGTTATTTCATTGTAATTTCAGTTTTTTGCTTGATAAAATTGTTTTTTCAGCTAATCTTTTTAATTTTTTTACAGATTCTTTCAGGGATTTCAAATCAATTTATATCATATTAGACAATGAAAGTCCGAACTGATGAAATGTATTATTGAAACATTTGCACATATAAGATTCATACGGATTTGAGAAAGCGTTCACACGATCCATCGCAAAACTACATATACGCCGAACAAAGATTCAAAAATAGGGGCCTATTCTTGAATCACTCTCAGTTCTAGGTTAGTTTTGGGTTTGTATTTCGAACTGTCAGAGAACCTTCCCGAATTGAACAGATTTCACAAATGTAAAATCAAAAAGCCAAAATCCATGATTCCGTTTGATATTTATTATTTCTTTGTTGTTTCGTTAGTAATTGTTAATTATGATAACAATGGGGTTATATATTATGTAAAAAAAAAATTGGCCACACGGCAATAGTATACTGAATTGAATTTCGAAGTTCACTATTCGAGTTATTTCGTATAATGTTCTGTTGATTCCAGAACTGTTCTAAAATACTCTGACCACAAGTTTATTAAACTTCTTTAATTCTAAATCAAAATAGAACAGCGCAGAATCATCGTTGCAGGAGGAAAAATACCTTAGGTACAGTTCAGAAATTTTCCGAAATGCGAACAAAATAGAATTTATAGGGTTTCCGTAGAGTATTTCAGCCAACTGACATGCCTTTGCCAAGACTTGAGGCAATTTTTCCGAAAAGCGTTTCTAATAGATTGTGCCATAGTGAAATATTTAACTAGTTTAAAGTCACATAAAGCTAGTGGAATGGTATCTACGACGGGTTGAAGGCCGGATTCACATATCATTCAGTCCAGGAAAAGCAAGATAGCAATCCTTTGAGAGGTGTGACAATTATTTTTCAGTTATCTTTGTAATGTTATAAAACAAATGACAGTGGCGATTGTCATCAATATTGGATCCACTGTTGATCACCTTTTGATCTGGTTAGCTAGAATTGAATATCATGATCTGAACAATGTTATTGAATATGAAATAATTACCTACTTATTTAATTTTTATATCAAAATTTCGTAGAAGTATAAGGAGCAGTGTCTGTAATAGTACAGGCAAAAAGTAGGGTAAGGTACTCTATCCTTCATTAGTTTTGTCAACTTCATGGCGTTGTGGTTACTGTTTCCCGTATTGGTTATATTAGGATATCTATTCAGGCGTCTAGATTATATGTTCTCTTGACATTTGGATAATTAAAATTTCAATTAATACTTGTCAACACTTCCTCTCCTGAAAAATAGAAATGACCAGTAAACAAGAGAGAGAAGAGCGCGAAGAAGTGTACCAAAACAGGATAATTTATTCACTGCCAGTACATTTAGGATTGTGGAATGAGGAGCTTGCCCTTCGAGATGAAAAAACTATTATAGCTGCTTATAAAAGAGATCACTGCCAACTGCTAATTCAAAAAACTAGAAAAATGTTCAGAAACGTGTTAAAACCAACAGTTTTAGCTATTGAAGCTCCTTACGTTTTATATGGCCAAAACTACCAACTTAAGGCTTGTGATGTTACGGTTTCCAACACTAATAAGGAGTCATCTGGTTTGAATTTATCAGGAGTTATCAATGAAAGAGACATAGATGTTGTCCAACATTTCATACACGGTTGTAGTTTATCAGCATCTCCCGTTGGTGTACCCTGTGTACGAAATACTTTTAGAGTAATGGGTTGCAAAGCTGATGACAAGGATGGTCAGCAAGTTTTCTATGGTCAAGATGTACTACTACAAATATCTGAAAGTAGTGGCCGTCCTCTATATTTACAATGTGAAAATTCCACAATCGACACCTTTGGGGGCCATCTATCGGTGAGATTATCACAGAGTCCAGATATTTATTGCAGGTGAGTATAAATACTATAAATCTTACTAGTGTAGACGAGAAAATTTAAAGATGTCATCTTTGGATGTACTGCATTTCACTCAAATGAAAAAGGGTTACCATCATTATATTATATATGAATTATTGTTAACTATCAAATAAGTAGTGAATCACGTGATTTTAAAAACGTTAGGATGCATTTCCAAACTACGCCGACCTTCAAACCCGAATGAAAATAGTAACACAGATTCCATACATTTTATACACTTGCTCCACAGAGATGCCCTACCGCATGTTTTTTATAATATAGGAGTCTATAATAGACTCTATATTATCAGGGCCGTCGCCATGGGGGGCCTCCCCCCCTGCTCTGCCGACTTGGGAAAAAAAAAAGTAATTTTACTTAGAAGTGAGTGCAGAAGTTTTATCAGAGTTTCTGCAGTTCCTAAAACGAAGCCATGCCCGCAGGTCCGTCGCCAAGGGGGGGAGCCTCCCCCCCCTGCTTTTTCGACTTGGGAAAAAGTTGGGAAATTTTGGGCCGTGAAGAAGATAATAATAGTAAAAAAATGAATAAAAA